TTAAATTTAACCCTGAAAAAAACTACTGAGAGTAGTTCGTTTTGTCACGAACTATATCTTCTACCTTTTTTAAACAGGCACACCTTTTATCCCAAACTGCATGACACGTATCTATATTTTTTTTGTTTTTTTTCATTAAAAACTGCACAATTGACACACTTAAGTCTAGGACTTTTACAGGATTTCCTCTCGTGATTACCCATACACAGAGGACAAACAATACCTTTCACACAACTTTTTTGTATATGACCGTATTCACAGCATTTAAAACATCGCACTATGGAAAGATGCTCAAAAACATTACACCTGCTATATTCACTTTATTTACATACAAGAGTCTGTGAAAAGTCGAAGGATCCGTTTCTGCTACAATATCCATCTTGCCATTCCTAGCTGCATATTTGTAAACTATATTGAAAGTGCACTCAGCGCCTATGTTGTTTTTGGGCCTTCAACTGCTTAAATTCTTTATCTAAATTGTTAATGTCTTTAACTATATTTGGAAACCTACTAGCCAGAGGACCTACGCTTTCAGTTTATGATATATTTGATGGGTGCAGAAAAATGAATGGTTTGAGAATCTGTACTTCTCGGGAATAAAAGGGGAATTTCTTAAACATCCTGATTTTATGGAACATCATAATAAAAATTTACACGCGTCGTTAATCCGAGGGTAAAGGTTATGCACCTTGGGGGTTTCAGACTGAAATTCCAAATTCATATCCGTAAAATTCGGTAATATAGATTGCAAACAAAAGATATAGTTTATTTAATTTATTATTAAGCATGTCATGGATTTCCGCTGCTCCTGAAGCTTCATCGAATGCTTCAATTCTAAAATAATTCTCTAGATCATTATTGGTTTGTTCGTACAACCTGTTTGCTGACAATCAGCAAACTGATAGTCGGCGACAAGTCATGACCTAGTTTTCTCAGTTAGCTGTCACTGACACGTTGCTGACTGTATCAATTGCGTACATGAGAAAGTTACAAGTTGGCTGAGAGAGGTCATACCGATTATCGACAACTAATCCGCTGTTCGTACAGAAACTTCTGACTGTTTGATGACTGTCTAATTAATCAGCAGATAATTTGCCAGTAAATTGTCAGAGCTCGAAGTCAAGTACAATAATAATTATTTGAATGTAAAATTTTTCAGAATGAAGTAGACAATTTTGAAAAAATTGGGGGTTCATTTGCTGTAAACCACGATGATCTAGAATTTTCGAGGAAAACATGGACACTTTCTAGAAAAAATAACAGCACTCAAAAATGTCAAGCAGATTTACTCAGTAATTCCCATTAAATTCTCATATAAAAAGTATAAACATAAATTCGAAGAAATATGATTCCACACATCGAATGACAAGTTGAAGAAATAAATACATAGTAAGAATGAACGTCTGCAGTGATTATGCATGACAAATGTATTGCGAATGACTTTTAATAAAACGCGGACAGTATGGTTTTTGTTCCCTGTTCCCTTGTCGCCCAGCCTCGAAGTGTATGCACAAACAGTATTTATATATTCTAGCTATGTACTCGTAAGTCCAACCCAAAGCTGATGAAAAAATAAACAAAATAACGAATTCTGGAGATTTTGTGATACAGGTTTTTTTCACGGGTGCCCACGGAGAGGGAGTGACTGTTTCTGTTGGGGTGAAAATAATATTTTCCCTATATAGGGTATTTTAAATTCGATCCTCACCATTGGGATATCAGAAACTTCAAGGGATACGAAGTCGCATAAATAGGGGACAAAGTTGCGTATTCAGATAATCTGCAAAACGTCGCTTAGAAAGTTTTGAAATTGAAAGCACTTCCGGAAAGAAACGTAAAAAACGAAATTTTCAAAAAGGGTTTTAATCTCGTCCTGACTTTATTTGTGGTGGGATTTCAAAATAAATTACACATGAACTCTGCCACATTTCCTCCTCTACACGGCGGCACAATTAGAATTTCAATATGACGTTTCGTATCTTGTCCACCAGCATCAACTTAATTTTTTTTTATAGACGCCATATTGGATTCTTAAACACATTAATAAAATGTTTATTCTGACTTAAAAAATGTATATGTCATACACTGACATTGCAAAACCTAGGTAGGCCTTCAAATTATCAGACTTCATTTGTTTGCATGGCAACAGAGTTTGGAAGACTGTGAATATCTCTGCTTATTTCTGGTTAATATTGTTATTACCATCAATGAAATTTCCATTTCGTATTCAGGTTTCGCCATATAATAATAATGTCTTTATTAATCCATCCACACTGCGGGGCGAAATTTAGCCAGCTGGCTACTCTACCACTTAACCTCACAGCGCAGGAACACATACAAAAGGAAAGATATAACAATTAATAGTAATCGACTAAATAATATATACAATAATTAAGGCTTAAATAGATTAATCTTAATGTTTTTTTTATACTCCAACTACCACGAAGGCCTAAGGCCTAAACACCCATTGGGCACCGTGGGGCTATAGGGGGATACAGGGGAAAGGGAGACGCCACACGGACTCTGGCGAGGGAACACGTATACATGCAACATGCACACATTCTGGCTCCGCCTACGAGATCCGCCGGGTGGTACCTCCACGTTCGACAGTCAGAGACCGTCTACCACCTACGGACAATCACAACATCCATAGCCAAGAGGAAAATTTCTCCTGGGACGGGACTCGAACCCGCACAGCGCACGGCGACTGATCAGGAAACCGAAGAGTCTACTACTGCGGCCACCGCTGCTGCCTACATCTATGTATGTACATCTATTCTACACAGCCCGCTCTAACAACAAAAAACAATAAAGACAAATATATATATATATATCAGCCGGCTTGGCTAGCAGACCCCAGAAGATAGTTCTTAGTGGCACTCTTGAATGTAAGTATTCCCTTCTTTTTGTAATTGCCATTAAGACTATTATACACCTTGACAGCATTTTAGGTGAAGCTACGATGGAAAATGTTGCTCCTATGACTAGGTATATTGAAGTCAGAGTTATGTCTGAGATTCCTGTAATTGAGAACCCCACGTGGTACCAGCCTTTTTAGTAGATAAGTAGGTAGCCTATTGATTTTTATTCGTTGTACTAAAATTAGTAAATTATATGTGAAAAGCTGGTCAACCCTCAACCATCTAAGCCCATTGATCTTCTTAGACACATGGCTAAACTTTCGCAGACCACAAACGAACCTACAGCAGCTATTCTGAATTTTTTGTACTCGATATCTAGTCACGTAATCAAGACAAGGAAAGTAAACAGCAATTGAATAATTTATTAACGATAGAACCAGAGTCTCAGCCAGTTTTTTGCGAGTCTTGAAATTCAGAATATGGCGATTGGTGTATAATATCTTCAAACGCATGTATGTTAAGCGAGATAAATGCGTAACATGTTGCTTAAACCTCAAATCTGAATCCATGGTGATCCCTAAATACTTCGCATGGTCTACTATAGGAATATGGGTTTCGTTAAGACTAGGAACAATTGTGCCATCTAACCGTTGTACTAACTGTTTTGGGCCAAATAGCATGGTGGAACATTTTGAAGCATTGATCTTCAGACAATGTCTTTTGCAGTACTCTTCAATGTTAACTAGATCTAAGTTCAATTTATATGATGCCTCATGCATGTCCAAAGAACCAAAGACAGAGTTAGCTGCGTGTCATCTGCATACGTTTGAATTTTACAGTGCTGAAGGCAAGTATGTAGATCAAAGGTATAAACTAAATAAAGTAAAGGTCCCAATACAGAGCCTTGAGGTACGCCAGATGCAACACTATTTGCCGAAGAAAATCCCTTACGTGTTTTCACCTTCTGGGTACGATTGCACAAATACGAATCGAAGACATATGTTTTTATTTCCTTTTAATTTTCATCCAACAACAAATTTATGGTCAACTAACGAAATACATCAATGAATTTAGAGCTGAAAAGTCCATTTAAATGTACAAAATTCCCATATAGTGTCCGTATGAAAAAACAAATTTGATGATTGAAGTCGAAAGAAGGAATGTCGAATTGAAAATTTGACTACGTCATCTTGCAGACGAGAATAAGTAACAATGACAATATGCAATTTATTTTGAAATCCCATCTCAAATAAAGTCAGGAAAAAATAGAGCGATCTTGGGATAAATCTGGTGAGCGAAACAAACATCTGATAATTTCAAGGCCTACCTAAGAATTTTTTTTCCTTTTATGAAGTCACCAAGGTTAGACAACGTCAATGTATGACGTCTTATGCATTTTTTTAATCAAAATTAAAAACTATATTCATCTGTGCAAAAATGCACTTAAGAAATAATAAAGTTGATGCTGGAGGACAAGAGACAAACAGTCATATAGATGATTACGCCTTCTTGCAGAAGAGAAAACGTGGCACTGCTAATGTGCAATTTATTTTAAAATCCCAATATAAATAAGGCAGGAAAAAAAAACTTATAATGACGTTGTATAAATTTTGGGCTGAAGCGTCTAAGGTCGATAAAATGATCCTCTATATTAAAATTTTTATTGTACCGGACAACAATTGCTAAATGTGTTTCGGACGTGAAATCTGTCGATTCGTCAACTAATAATGAAAATTTATGGCAATTTAAGTCACTAATAAGATTTTCAAAACTTATTTTCCCTATTACATTGTTTATGATTGCCGTACATTTAGTTCGGCCTACAGACATTTTTCGCTTGGCTACTCTCTATTCCAGACAAACAAATAGATTTTATAAGTTCGCTAAGATGATCTGACACATTTATTGCGATATTATGCTCTGCAATAAAAGCTGCAATTTTAATTTCATTTTGTTTTACTGTATTATCAGAAGAAATTTCATATACTATTTTTGACCAAGTTGGCTGCTTAAACATAATAGTTAAATTTTTTATATGCTTTTTTGAATAACTTTTTTTTAAAGCTCCTATGCCGCATAAATAATCATAATTGCAAACCTTGCAGTGGAAAAAATAGCTTCCACAGGAACTTGGTGCACCCAGTTCTTAAAATTTTCATGCTGCTCCCACTCAGCCTTGTATTTTTGGGAATATATTTTTTCTTTTGAGGTTGGTTGATTTTCTGGATCTTACTGGATACTGAATTATCAGAATCAGAAGTGGAGTGTAATTCATTTGTTGTACTCGGTCTCGTTTCCTCTGATTCTTCTTGAACTGAAGCAGACGATTTGCTTGGACCTGGTTGTGGAGATAATGGCCGAACTGCATCATCTTTTTTCTTAATTCCAAAAAATTTTTTCATTAATTTAGTATCTGATGGCCTGAAAAACAAAAAAATGATTTTAGCCCACATTTTATATCATACTCATATTAATGTTCATATTCAAAGTGCAAATACAGGGTGTTCCATTAAAAAAAACTAAGTTAGGGTCATAGCTCTTGAACGACGCCTCTGATTTATTTTCGAGCACGCCATAGAATATGCAGAAGTATCTATCTAAGCAGTTTTCACCTTTTTTCTATCTTATACAGGGTGCGAGCTGACAGTGCCCTAAAACGTGAAATTTTTCGTTTTCACCCTGTATTTCAGTGGCAAAACGAGATTCCTTAAGGTTGATTCTCACTATACATTCCGTTTCCATTCCGTAACCGTTCCGTAAATTATTGAAATTAAATATTCGCCTTCGCTTAAAGCAGGCTATTGCGTGTGTATGCACATTATCCGTAAGGTATATTGTGTATACAATCAAATTGTACTGAACGTTTACGAAACTGATATGGAATGGGAACGGAATGTATAGTGAGAATCAACCTTTAATTCTGTTTGTAGCATTATTAGTTTAAGGCGGCTCCGACGCAGTGAGTTTCAGGCCATTTACAAGGGTTTAGCTGCTTCGGAATTGACGCTCCATTTTTCTATATATTTGAATAAAATTTATACAGTATGTTCAGAAGACAATTGTCCAAATTTTTTTCAGGAGTTATGGTGGGTGGAAGTGCAGATAATTGTTGTTCGACTTCTCGATTTTTTTAAAAATAACCCAGAGGAAAAAACGAAAAAGTGGCTCTATAGCACCCTGTGGAGGCTTGTTTTTAGTGCACTGTGAAAATTTCATTGAAAAATATTCAAAAATGAAGCGTCAATTTTGAAGCGCGAAAACCTCTGCAAATAGGCTTTTACACGAATTTTATCCACTATCTCGTGCTGCCAGTCGAAGCAACGCGGCGGTGTGTACGGACTAAGAAAGGACGTATTCAGATAATTTGTTGTCCCAAGTTCAACAGTAGCAGTTTTAACGTCGGTCGTTCGAGATAAACATCGGACCAGTAAGTGATATTTTTAATAGACTTCAATGAAAGAGGGGAAATTTTCAATCGATTTTGATCATTTCTTTTTATACAATAGGCCATGCTTCAGAGGTGATACCACAAAAAATCATTTTTGTTCAATCACCCCAATATGGGTATCAAATGGAAGCACTTGTACAAAACAGAAATACGAAAACAGTTTCAAATCAAGATGGCGGCCGTTACAAAATGGCGGATAACATACTTGCTAATATCTCAAATAAGAGTTGTCGCCTTGTAGAATACAGTACTTCACTAAAAATTTGATTCCACGATTGCCGCCATTTCGAAATTGCGAGTTACATATTTTTGTACAAAACCCCCAATTTACATATCAAATGAAAAGACTTGACATGTGTGGTAAAATACAGAACTTTGTGACCAAAAGTTTCCAGGTGGTTCCAGGGTCATTGGAGGCGATAATCTTTTTAGTTAAAAATAATAATTATAGTGAACGCATTTAACACAAATAAAATGTCACTTGCTGTTTAGCGTTAACCTTATGGAGTATCGTAAAATAAACTTAACACGATAAGCGTCATGGGATATAATGCGTGTGTCGCACCTCATTTGGCGCTTTGGGCCTCGTGACACACATGATATGTCTCACTGCTGGCAGTTATATTTGGCCGCGTAACGTAAGACGTGTGCCATGCTGATGTGATTTTCTTACGGGAACCAAGAGTCCGTGGCCTGAGGGACCAAATTATACTGAATTGGAAATGAAAATATAAAAAAAAAACACATTGTTTATAGAGTTTTACAAGAAGAGGATATTCTACAAATCTAAAACAAAAAGCAAATCTTATAAAATAATCAGACATTCTCATTCAAAAATGAACAAAGTAATTTCACAGCAAATCAGTAAGTTATGGTAAATGTCGATATTCTAACGAATACAAATATGGAGGAACTCTTATAAACTAAACAGACTGACAAAGTCTTATGCAGGAATAAACAAAATACCGGTATAAATAAACGGTAATACAGATAAATATGGAATTACTGCAACTACTATCTGATTCACTACCACTTGGAGAATACGCATCAGATAAGTATACATCCCCACATAACTCAGTACTGCCACTCTCTTCATCGGATAGTATTTCATTACACAATTGTTCAAGCCTTTTTTGCTCCGCTTCGTAATACAACATCACAAATTTGGTATTCAATAATTTATAAACAGTAGATAAAGCAATTTGGACAAGATGACGTACAATACCAACAACGCTTCAATAATAAATGACACGAAACAGTGCTCAACGCGCGACATGATGCAAGTCTTGACTTGCAAAAAACGCGACACGACTTATCTGCCACGCGACCCGACTGGTCTGTGGGCCACGCGACATACAACTAGTACCTCAGAAAAAAACAATCAAAAAAGGGGAAAAATCATAGGATTTGAGAAAAAAGTCAAGTCAAAATATTAAACCGAAACTTAAAACAAGCTAATTTGACAATAATAACAGTTTGGCCCAGTGGACTGGATTTTCAGATTCTACTGTGGCGCTTAACGTGTCAATGTGACATTTCAATATTCGCCATCTAACAGACTAGATAAAGCTAGCCGATGCTACGTGCTATTGAGCCTGACGATTGACTTTTATTTAAATAAACAATATATACATAATATACAATAAATAGTGAACATCTGGTACTAGTACCAAAATGGAAGAGATTAGCATAACATCTCGCACATCGCTGCTAAAGCGAGATCTGCACACCGCATTTGCCGACACGAAGGGGTTAGTAACGGCGTACAATGTAATATGCTAATCTCTTCCATTTTGGTACCCGAGTAGGTACAGCAAAAATAGCCAATTCTCAAGAACTCTTTTTCTTGTTCAAACGGTTCTCTTGTGCCTTCAAGATCACATCGGGATCGCGGATTGGCATATTTCTGCTTTTCCTGGGATCGACCAGTTCTGGGAGCAAGCAGTTCATGTAGAAGAATTTCAATTTCATTCCATTTCATTTTTCCAGAAAACTTCATCCTTTTGAATGACGTCTATTTTCAAACCATACGGGGTCCAAACACCAAGCACACAGTACTCTCTTTGTGCAACGTGTAGCTGCCCTTGAATTTGGTAATACCACTTATGTTTTTTATGTATTTCATCGTTTATCCAAAACGTAATTTTTTTGTTCAGAATGCCCTCTTCAGGGGTCATTTCTCTAGCCGACCATGGACATTTAATTTCTAGCAGACCTTTTTCGCCTATCAAACCATCTGGCGATGCTGCCAGAAATGGATGGGTCCTATCAATAAACAACCCGCAAGATTGTACTTCTGATTGCGAATATGATTTCTCTATTTCTGCTTTTGCCACGCTTTCATGCTTTTTTCCATAGTCACATGCATTGCTAAAGAATTCGGTTGGGTATGTTATGGCGTTTACTAGAGCTCTGCAACTTGTTGTATCTCTTCTTCTACAAACCTCACCAAACCGAGACGCAGTCAACCTCATTCTTCGATGAAGACGCCACAAATTGCAATCCTGAGATTTTGTGGCTTGCTCGATCTGTGAAATTTTGGAGTCGGTTTTTGCAAGTTTTTTCAAGAATTATACCTTGGCAGCCTCTATATCTTCGTTGCTCATGTCAGGCTTCTCACAGAATTTCCCATAGGATGCGTTCTCTTTAGTATCACTATCTCTGATTTTAATTTTCCTTGGTTTCAGCTGTGTATTGTGCCTCACTACGGCTGCAGCACATCTTCCTTGGTAGGATCTCTTCTTGCAATAATTAATCCGTTTACCCCCAATGATTTAGCTATGATTGAGTTAAACTGCTCTACAATACTATTATCGACGTCATGAAGTAAACTTACTGCATTTTTAATCAGAATTGCCAGAAATGATATCAGCCTCTGGTGCAAATCTAAAAAAAAGGGGTATACACACCTGAATTTGAAGATCCGTGCCATCTGTATCTGTTAGAGAATGCATATGCGAAACCTTGCTGTCATTTTTAAGCTAAAATAACATATAAAATATAGTTATAATAGTAACTACGTATAGTGTAATTTATTGGCAAAATGAATGCTAAAATTCATAATTGTGTTGGTACCTACCTTTCTATCTGGAAAAAGTTTTTTTTTCCTGTGCGTATTTAAATGCGGCTTCTTCGAGACGCCACGTTTATTTCTCTTATTGTTCATTTTTGATACCTTGATAAGAAAGACACTCAACAATAACAACACAACAATAACAACACGATAATACAACAATACAATAACGGTAATAAGAGTAATAAGGGCTGAGTATACTATGCGCCAAAATAGGGAAACAGTCAATCAAATCCGACTCTGTGCAATATGCAAATTCAACCTGGCACGCGAACAGCACACCTCTGCGTATTACTATCCTTTTCTAACGTAGAGCGCTTGCCTTGTCACAACGCCGTCCTACTAGCGTTTCCCTATCACCCCCCCGATTACCCCTCAGAAACTTTGCTTGACTGAGAGAGCGCCGTTAAACAGTTTTCTGTAGCAAGAATTAGTGAGATCCTAGTCAATACTTGCCGTTGCTAGATGGCGCGGTAGAATTTACTGACGGTTCCATACTAAATATGAATTGCAATGATTATTATACATAAGGGCCTCAAAGGCTGAAAGGCAAAGACATTTCTAGTAGATGATTGCCTTTGTTGTTTCAGTTTTATTTTGTATTTCTGTGTAAGCTTTTATTTAAGGCGACATCTTGTGGTCAATTCTTAAACTATAATTTACTAGTGTTATATAGGGACTTTCGCCATTCTTAGTATGGACGTTGGCAAATCCGATGTGGAATGTCAGTTCAATTTGATTTTGGGTAGCTACAAGAAAAAACAGCTACTTACACAAAAGCGCAATTTTGTAGCATTTATACTGTCGATTGTACCTGTACAACTTCAAATTCTATTAGGAGTGAGACAATTTTTTTATTTGTAGCTGCGAATATACGTTTTAATTGGACATCTTTAGGCA